ATGAAAAACAATGTGAAGATATTCGAAATTATGTTGATATGATTGATAATCTTCGTTCAGTTGTTTATAAAAATATTCGTGAATTAGCTGGTACACCAACATGTCAAACAATAAACGACAATCTATCACCATCACCATCTACAGCTATTCATCATGAAAGAACACAACCTACAGAAGCTTCAAATAATCATCATCCTTATCAACCACCACAACAACACCAACACCAACAGTCAAGTGGTGAAGAAGATGATGGAGAAAATCCTAATAAAACATTTATGAATAAAATACGTGGTACAACGAAAAAAACTATTCAACATGCTGAAGAAGGTCTTAATAAATTAGATGGTGTTATTAAACAACTTCGAACAAATATGCAAAAAAAATAAAAAAACACATAGATACGTTTTTTTTCTTCTTTTTTTTTCTTTTCTTTTTCATATTTATGTAAATTTTCATTTTGATATTTCTTTATTGAGTTTGTATAAAAAAGTTTCTCTTCTTGCCTTTTTCTTTTTTTTTCTCCGGTGAACTGGAGTGATTATCATTGGATTTTATTTTGCCTGTCCTAGACGTTGTTCTTATTGTTTTTTTTTGCAAAAAAAAATCGAAACTTGTACGCTACTGATGATAATAAAACGCCTAGAAGATCAGTGAAATAGTTTTCTTTATATTCTTCATTAGGTTTTTTTTTCCTCTTACTTAAAAAGAAAATAAACGAAGAAAAAGAATCATGTATAATGGTAGAGATTTTCAGTTTGTTTTTTTTTTTCTAAATATTTTCATTTTTTTTTTAGATATGAAAGATAATTTTTTTTATAATCGATAAATAAGGTAAAGAGATCGATTAAATCCTTCCAGACCTGATTTTCATAATAGAAACTATGAGATCAGACCTGGATTCAATTAGGCTCAAAGATTTTGAATTCAATGATTCTCATAAAGAAGTATAATTCAAGTATGCCTTGATTATTACAGAATAATCATCAAGGTTGTCTGAAAAATCTATTGAGTGTGCTTGTTATTTATATAAATAAGCAGGAAAAAAAAGAATATCATATTTTTATTGCAACTATCAAGTTCACATTAGAAGAAACCTTATAGAAAGTATTATATATGCGATTCATATCTAGAATTAGTATCAATCAAAGTTAGGTCAAAGTTCAATAATTTTCACCGAATGAACTTTGTTTTTGGTAGTGCTGATCGCGATCGAGAAAGAATTTTTTAAGTATTTGTTTTTAAATTATCTTTTTCTCAATTTTATTCGTATCTTAACTCTATTTGGAATAAGATTTTCGTCGTAGTCTTAGGTTAAATAGAGTTTTATCTTATTAATCCCTACCTCGATCACTAAGTTAGAATTGAAAGTGATCTTAGTAATTGGACTAGAGATCAAGGTTATACTGTATTAGTATATGCATCTAAGAAATCGACTTACAGATTAACCATTTTCTTCGTATTCCATAACTGACGAATACGAAACATATGTTTATATTCTAGATTTATTTTTCTTTAAAAAAATGGCATCAGGTGACCACGAAAAACAAAAACATCATGACGAACAAGATTCTGATGATGAAAATACTGTAGGAAATGGTTATAAAGCACCACAAAAAATCGATATTGGATCAATTGTTGCTAAAGATGAAAGTGATGAATCATTAACACGTTATAAAAAACTTCTATTAGGTAATTCAAGTGATGGTACACAAATTCAAAATCAATTAGTTGATCCAAATGATTCACGTGTTGTACTACCAATACGAATAACACTTCTATTTGAGAATCATAAACCAGATGTTGTATTTGAATTAAAAGGTTCTATGGAACAATTAAAAGATTTACATTCAAAACGTACAATAACAATTAAAGAAGGTGAACATTATCGAACACAATTAGAATATTATGTACAACGAGATATTGTTACTGGATTAAAATTAATCAATAAAGTATTAAAAGCACGAACAATAACAGTGGATAAATCGAAGTTTATGATTGGTAAAGAAATAAATTATTTGAATTCAAAATATATGTTTTCTTTTGTTTGTAGGTTCACGAGCACCCAGTGCCGAAATTCAAACTTTTGTTAGTGATGTTGAACAAGCACCAAGTGGTGTTCTATCACGTGGTTCATTTTTAGTTAAATCGAAATTAACGGATGATGACAAACTTAGTTATGCTGAATGGGAATGGAATTTAGTTATTGCAAAAGATTGGCAATAGAATACATATTATACATATTTTTGCTATTTTTTTTATAAACTCGAAATGCTAACTAAAACTCTTTGACAACGTTTTTTCTCCTTTCTTATTTTGCTAATTCTTCGACGAATGCATGTCATAGTGTGCTATATATAATGTCTCTTCATATTAAACTTTTTTTTACATGCTATTTCTCTTACTTATTTTTCTTTCTGTATTATTATTCATGCATGCATGTTAGACCCTGGTGGATAAAAGAAAAAGGAAAACGATCTAACAATAAGATATTAGTCATACGCTCAGTTAGTTTATTTATCTATGTTTTCTTTTTTTTTTTTTAAGATAAAGTTTTCTTTTCAAAAGAAAAATCATGATATTAGAAAATGATAATTTTTTAATGGAATTAACAAAACTATTTCAACAACAACGTGTGAAAAATTCCGGTTCATTATGTTTAACAATGAAACGATATGATGGTCGGACAAAACCGCAACCTCAATTAACTAAAAAGCAACGACTTGAACAAAAACAAGCGTCAACTCCGACAATAAAAAATCCGCCGCATTCACCAACAACTCATGAAACGGGTGAATACAGATGTCTCGTACGTGCTGTATTTGGTTCAAAAAAATTATCAACTATTGTTTCAGCTAAAGATATAAATCGTTTTCAATTGGCCTATTCAAATTTATTAAAATTAAATATGGATACATTGAAAAAGAAGGCTAAAGAAAGTAAAGCCGCAACAACAGGTCAAACATCTACTAATCCAAATAGTAATATTCCATCATCACCAATACCAACAGCAGCATCATCATCATCAACAGCTGTTTCCAATCAACAAAAGAAAACACCAACAACACCAGCTAAAAAAAAATAAAATAAATCAAACAAGAAATATCTATTTAAGATTAAATTTTATGTTGTTACTGATTTTATTGTTGTTTTTAAATCGTAAAGATGTGTGAGAAAGAGATAAAAGAAGTATCGTGTCTTTTTATTTATTTTTGTTTTTTCTAACAACAGATAAATAGAAAAATCCATTATTCGTTATAACCAAAAAAAACGATCTTTTTTTAATTCTCTATATTTTAAAATGGATACAATCCTATAGTCAACTTATTAACTTAACATTTTCTAGATCTCATTTTTTATTTAAAAGAAAAGATTTTTTTGCTGTAAGTATACATTTTCTGATATAACACATTTAAAACTGCAACTTTTTATTTATATAGATCAGCAAAGACAATGATTTCTTTTGTCGAATAGATGCGTATTTTAGAAACAATATTTGAAATAAACTATCGCATTTCGAATAGTGCAATTACGTTGTTATGTCTATAGTGCATTTTTTTAATAGTCTGATGATGGAGTGTAATCTTTTGATTTGAATCTTATTATACTCTGTCCTTTTGACCTAGATTATGTAAATGCGAAGATGTTTTTTTCACTCCTCTTTCTGTTCCTAACTAGCATGTTGAACCTAAAAACGATTAAATCGTACTTGCTTTTGTGTAATAACGAAAGCTTATGTGTTCTAAGAATATCCCTACCTACACTTTTCTAATTCTAAATCTCTTTTATCTCTATAATTACATGTCTATAATGTAATATGCGTATTTTAATATCAACAACAGAGATAAACTTCAAAAATATGAGAAATTATTTTTGAATTAAATTAAAATATCTAGAATCAAATAATTCGAATTCTATAGAACTTATTATAAGTCATAAAAATTTCGCATAGAATATGTCTTTATAGAAAGCGTTGATCTACTTCTTTAGCTTTTACGGACTCAAGTTTCGATTCATTTTTTGTTTCTAGATGGCTCCTAAAAAACGACGACAACAAAATAATAAAGAAAATACCGATGAAAATGAAATAAATCTAAAACTTAATCCATTGTCAATACAATCGATTATTGTAAGAATTTTCTTAAGTAAATAATTATTTTAGTTGACTTTTTTGTTTTCTTAGGATGAAAATCTAAAACAATTTGAAGTTGATTTTAAAAATGAATATCAACAATATGAAAATAAAATTCAAGATAAATTAGCACTTGTTCATAAAGAATTTGATAAATATATGCAAACACATGAAGCACAAGGAAAATTAGCTCGATTACTTGATCAAGAAATTATACGTATCAATCAACAACAACAAACAAATAATGCTATGGATGTACAATGTCAAGAATTACTTAATAAGACAACTGATTTAATGAATATGGTGAGCTCTATATAACGCAATTGAGATCCAGCATTCTTATTTCATTTAATTATTATAAAAATAATCAAGCTAAATAATTTCAAGGTGATTTTAATATATTTTTTTTCTCTTCTAGTCATCATCAGATTCATCACGAACAAAAACATATCTTATTGGTGAACTACAAATGTTACCAATCGATAATGTTAACAAATAATATCGATGCTGGTTTTTGTTTGTCTATACATGTGTATATAGATAACGTGCTCTATTGTATTGATGTCAGATATTTGTATATTTGTATGTGTAGTTGATATAGAATTATAAATAGAAAAAATAAATAAATAAAATCTTCTTAATGTGTGTCGATTATATAGAATACATGAAAATAAGAAAACATGTTTAATACTGATTACGAAAGGATTACAAGCAATTAATTATATCCTGTTGGATATTTTTCTTATATAAAAAGATTTATTTAATAATTCTAGTCGATGACGTCAAATGGATCAAATTATTTTTTATTCTCCTATAATAAGATAATGTAAAGATACTACGTAAAAACATTCTTTCTGTCATTTAACACATACATATATAAATCAATGATCGGCTTTAGTTTCTCTTCATTTTTCACCGACATTATTGTATAAATAGACAGGTATGTACCTTCTCTAACATCAAGTTTTATTAGAAAAGAAGAGTTGTACCTAAAACATTAACATTAATATAAGATCATATGAAACTCTTTTAAAATTCAGTGCGATGAATTGAACTCTTCTTATACCAATAATGATATGTCAAATTAATAATTAAACAAAAAGTATATCTGTATATTTTCAAAATTCATCCACTTTGATGCTTCAAATGCATATATTCTATCTTGTCATTATTAATGTAGAAAGTTTTGTCTATGACCTAAATTCTCTATTATTTATGATATAAGAATACATATATGTATTTCTATTATTTTAATATTTAAAATAATATGTTTTTATTATTTTAGTTCAGATACATCAAAGTTAATTGAATTGATTCGAAAGTATGACAATGCGCTTTCTTATTATATGTTTATGTTTAATTAGTCTTAATCTCTATTATTCTGTCGAATCAACAACATCAATAAAGAAAACGAATGTTAATAAATCGTTTAATGAATTACCATTTCATATACATCCATTACATTTTATTTCACATATATGTCGACAACAAAAACAATATTCATTAGAAATAACAAGGAAATATTGTCCATTACATTTACAATCATCTAAATCACAAGAAGAACAGCAACAACAACAACGAGGCAAGCGTGTCGGATGGACAATTAGTGTTTAAATGACATCAAATTCATATATTGTTTTTTT